TGACCGAGCGCCAGAAATTCACCTCGGAGGAACTGCTCGGGTCCCCCAGGTTCTTGGAGTTTGCCGTCCTGACCTCCCAGGGGACAGTCCCAAAGTTAACTTTGACAATACTCCAGGTGCAGAGAAGGGTGCGGTCCGTGCGTCTCCAGAACGCCTCCCTCGCCACTGTCTCTTCCAACAGAGACGCTGCTTCCATACAAAAGGCTTTGCCTCTGAGCACAGCAGTCAAGGTCAAGTGAGTGGGGCAGTGATTCCCGGGGACAACAATGAAGGAGGTGCTATGGTCTGTCCCATTTTACAGATGAGTAAAGAGAAACAAAGAAGTTAAGGTGCTGGTCCTGGGTCCTACGGCCACAGGCAGAGCTCAAACTGAAAACGAATAGCCTGGGGGAGGGGGTAGCAGAAGAGGATGCCAACGGGACTCGGTCTTTCTCTGGCAGGAACAAACGCATATATTTTATACATCTATAGGTATGTATTCATATATATGTACATAGACATGATATATTCTTTTTTTAAGAGTTGAGGACTTACCATCTGATACAATGGTCATCAGCCAGGCCCCTAATAAAATTCTCTGGGGCCAATTCTCAGGCCCCTACGCCAAGCTAAATGAACGTGACTTATTTTCCATAATATCCTATCTTCAATAGCTTCAGAACAATGCCAGTCCTTGTTTCTCAGAGACTAACATGTGATCGGTTTTGCACAAATAAAGTGGGTTCGTGATGCTGTGGGAATATAGCAAAAATTCAGAGAGATCAGAATCCAAAGTCTAAAACATGTAGGCTCATTTCAGAGAAAGGAGGAGGCCGGGGGAGGGGTCCAGAGGTGTCTGATGGGGAGGAAGGAGGGCTGTAGTAAGGGTGCCGCAGAATCAGGAGCCCGATTATTAGACTCCCACGCCATTCCACACCAGGCTTCCTACGGAAGCTGTTTCCTGGGGTAACCAAGCGTGCCTGGCAGTCACAGCTGAGCAGACCTAGCAGGGTGCAGCCTCTGGCAGGGAGGAGGGGAGATTGCTGCCTTGGCACCCCTGACCTCTCCCTCTCAGACCCTCAAGGGGGCCTCCTGCTGCCCTGTCCACCTGGCCTGCCTTCCCCCGTGCCTGTCAGCTGCTGTTCACAGGACTTCTGCAGCTGAGGGACTGTGACATGGCGCAGGACCCAGAGGAAAGAGCTCTGCTCTGAGGGGCAGGGTAGGGGGGGGTCTCAGCGGGGAGCTCAGTAGCCCGGCATGGAGCTGCCAGATGAGAAGACGGGCAGGTGAGAGGCCAGAATGCTGCCTTCCAGGCAGAGGGCAGCAGAGGCAAAGGCCCTGCCTAGGCCCCGGGGCTCCTGGCAGACAGCCCACCGTGGCAGAGATCAGGTTGGTCAGTGTGCAGTGATTGCTCCTCCCAGTGAGCCCCCAGGAGATGAGCTAGCCTGGCCTGGTCCTCCAGACCCCTGCCCAGAAAGTGACAGCATCCCAGCGGGAGCCCATGGCCTAAGCGCTGGCACTGTGCTTGGCTCAACTATAAGAGGTCAGGTGTGGACTGCTGTGTTCCTGACACTGTGAGGTGGGTCTCACGTGCAGGCCATGCACACTGCACCCCTTCCCATGTGTCCCCAACCCTCCCCAGAGCCTGGTACCAATGACAACCGATCAAAACATCACGGAGACCCGGAACGGGATTCTCTACCCCAGCTCATTTGACACCTTGGGCCAAATAGTTCTTGGCTGAGGGTCTGTTCTGAGCACGGTAGGAAGCGTAGCAGCACCTTGGTCTCTTCTCACTATGCCAGGAGCATCCTCACAAGTGCACACACAGGTTGCCACCACCAAAAACATCTGCCGAAACTCCCCTGGGGAGCAGATCATCCCCCACTGAGAGCTGCCGCAGTGGAAAGGCTTGGGATCAGGCCCCACAGACAGCCTCAGGAAACGGGGGTCAAGCCTGCTCCACGGAAGTGGCCACTTATCAGGCTCCGAAGGCTATGCTTCATGGCAGGTGCCGGTCAAGGTCCTCTGCTGCCAGCCCCTGTCACACCACACTCCCTGCACACTTGAGCAGGCCCCTCTTATTCCCAGCTCGAGACCTCTGCACGCCTCCTCCTCTCCCAGAAGGACTCTCTTGACTTAGACACCCACTGCTCCCTCCCTGACGCCATGACTGATGCGAGTATGCTCCAGC